TTTCTTTCTTTCTTTCTTCCTTCCTTCCTTCCTTCCTTCCTTCCTTCTTTCTTTTCTTTTCTTTCTTTCTTTTTTTTTTTTTAAAGATAGAGTTTCTCTGTGTAGCCCTGGAACTCACTCTGTAGGCCAAGCTGTCCTGGAACTCAGAGATCTCCCTGCCTCTGCCTCCCGAGTGCTGGTATGAAAGGTGTGGGTCACCACTGCCCGGCTCAACTCTCCTGTGGGGGAAATGAACACAGTATACTCTCCGGGTGAACTCATTTCCCAGCCCCGGGACAGGCTAACTCCTTTTGGCCTGTCTCACGCTGTCATCCACTCCTTCTTTTGTCCCTTTGATGAACTGTTGCTCAGACTTCAAAGCCTCCCAGAGGCTTTCAGGTACTGGATTGAGCTTCCATTTTTTTCCTTTAAAAATTTTGACTCCGTGCAGCTCTTGCCATATTTTCTTTCAAGTGACCCAGCAAGGTCCCACATCTTCTTTTCCCCATTTTATCCTTCTCCGGATGCTTCAGAACCTTCTTAACTCACTTTATACACCAGTCTAACCCATTCAGATCTGTTGGAATCTCTCCCACCTTCTAAAGATCACAGCCCACCCTAAGGGCTCATCTTTAGCTTCCTGAGTCTTTCGAACCTCTCTCATCAGCCCAGTAGGGACTATCTCAATTCAGAGGAAACAGGGCTGACAAGATGGCTCAGCAGGTAAAGAAAGGCACTTGCCACGAAGCCTGGGACCTGAGTTCTAGTCCTAGAACCCATACGGTGGAAGGAGAGAGCTGAGTTCCTCAAGTTGTCCTCTGATGTCTGTGCATGCATGTGCACACACATGTAACAAAGGAATGTTAAAAAAAATTGTTGAGGGGCTGGAGAGATAACTCAGTGGTTCGGAGCTCTGACTGCTCTTCCAGAGGACCTGGGTTCAATTCCCAGCACCCACATGGTAGCTCACAACTATCTGTAACTCCAGTTCCAGGGGACCTGACACCCATGGCTAAACACCAATGCACATAAAATAAAAATAAATTAATTAATTTTTTAAAAGCCTGCAAAAAATTTTAAAAGCGATTCTGGGGGACTAGCTATGCGGCAACAGAGTTGCACAAAATGCATTGTGCTGTATGTGACATTGTAATAATTGTGTTATTGCAGGCAGCAGGGGGTTTCAGCTCCATCATCTTAGCAGATCACTGTCATCTGTGCAGTCCTTCTGGAGAATCGTTAGACAGAATATGACGGGTCTGAAGGGGAAGCAGTTGTTTGTTCTAGGAAATTTCATTGAGCTTGTGCAGCTGTGATTGTGAATTTTTGTGTATGTTTTCAAGACAGGGTCTCATGTGTCCCAGGCTGGCCAGCCCCATCTTACTATATAGCAGAGGATGGCCTTGAATTTCTGATCTTCCTGCCACCCCTTCCCAAGTACTGGGATTACAGTCACGAGTCACCATGGTGGATTAAAACCAGGCACTTATATGTGTTAGGAAACCATTGTACCCACTGAGCCGTATCCCCAGCTCTCCCAAACGCTTATCTAAAAAGAAAACCCAGGGCTGGAGAGATGGCTCATTGGTTAAGAGCAGTGGCTGCTCTTCCAGAGGACCCGGGTTCAACTCCCAGCATCCACATGACAGCTCACAATTGTCTGTGACTCTATTTCCATGGGATTCAACACCCTCACATAGACAAATGTGCACATAAGATAAAAAGAAAGAAAGAACGGAAGGAAGGAAGGAAGGAAGGAAGGAAGGAAGGAAGGAAGGAAGGAAGGAAGGAAAAAAGAAAGAAAGGAAGGAAGAAAGGAATAAAGAAGGAAGAAAGAAAGAAAGAGAAAAGGAAAAGAAAACATAGAACTAGGCAGTGGTGGTGCACGTCTAATCCCAGCACTTGGGAGGCAGAGGCAGGTGGATCTCTGTGAGTTTGAGGCCAGCCTGGTCTACAAAGCAAGTTTCAGAACAGCCAGGGGTCTGATAATATAACATAATTTAGGCTTTCTTTTTCTTTTTCTTTTCTTTTTTTTTTTTTTGAGACAAGTTTTCTCTGGATAGCCCCGGCTATCCTGGAATTCACTCTGTAGCCCACAATGGCCTCGAACTCACAGAGATCCACCTGCCTCTGCCTCCCAGGTGCTGGGGTTAAAGGTGTGCACCACCACCGCCCAGAGAATTCAGGCTTTCCTAATGAATGAAGGAATGATTGCATGTCTGTATGTGGACATATGCACAGTATGTGTGGGAGGTCGGAGGACAGTTTGCAGGAGTCAGTTCTCTCATTCTACACTGTGAGTTCCAGGGATCCCTCTGCCTCTTGAGTGCTGGGATTAAAGGCATGGGACACCACCCCCAGCTCTATTTCAAGACTTAAAATGTATCACTATGGGGCTGGGAATGTAGCTCAGAGGTAGAGTGTTCTCCTGGTATATACAAGGCCCCAAGTTCCATTTCCAGCCCTGAAGTAATCACCTTCACCACCATCACCACTACTATCATCATCATCATCATCATCATCATCATCATCGTCATTGTCATCACAACCACCACCATCACCACCACTACCACCACTACCACCATTTAACACAGTCCTGGCATAGGTTGCTCCTGGTCTTTATTGCCTGTCTTTATTGCTTATTCGGAACACACCTCAGCGTCCTTTATGGATAAACTAAAAATGTCTGACTCTTTTTCCAGGAACTGCTCTTTATTACTTCCCCATGACAGTGAGCCAGTGAACTGAAACACCCAACTCGGTGAGATCTCATGATGAACTCAGAACCTGGGCTGCAGTAATGTCACAAAGTCAAGATGCTGTGGCTTTGATCCCACACTGTAGAGGGACTAGTTGTGGGTTGCCACAGTAGTGGTAATGTGCTTGACTATATCTTTGTGGGCTCATTTAATTCTTCTATAATTTATAATCAGTTTGGCTGAATAACGCTTGCTACAGGCATTTCTTAGAAGTATTGAACTTCTATAAATGGAAGTTGCCAGTTCACAATGCCCTGGTCACGTGCTTGCATTTAATCATGCCACTCAAGAATGACCCTGCTTCAGAAGGTTTTTTGACCCTCTTCTCAGAAAATATTTCTGAGCAAGCAGCAAATCACATATATTTCCAACTGTGAGGACATTCAGCTGGTGTGACTCTGGCACTGTGATAGATGGGGGGGCGGGGGGATGAGAGAGAAGGACAGCAGAAATGCATAATTTAAGTTCTCGGAGCGAACTGGGGCACAACTATTACTGGAATTTTGCTCGGAATGAGGCATCCGCCACATGGTGTTTCGGGAACTGTGAGAAATGAGGTCATTTCTCCACCTCCTCCTGCCACTATTGCCTGTGTCGATTTGACCACAGTTTGCACGCTGTGCACACTGGCTGGGTCTGCAAGGCAGAAAGGTCTCCAGGGACTCACTGGAGCCTCGGCAGGTTCCTCCATCCACTCTGCCTCCCAGCCAAGTCCATCCAGAGCACCTGCCTGGGCCCAGAGTGCAGCCGTGGATACTGTGCAAAGTACAGAACAAATAGGAGGTTCGAGTCCACCCACAGACTTCACCATGGAGGCATATAATTAGAAGGTGAGGGACAAGCCCCAAATAGCCACTCACCTCCTCCAAAGGATGGCACTTCATTCACAATTTCAGTTACAGACAGAGGACGGTGCTTCCCACTTAGCATAAGAACTTCTACTCCCCACCACACACAAAGCTGCTGTGTTTAAATTTTATTTTTATTTTATGTGTACAAGTATTTTGCCTGCATGTATGTCTGTGTACCGCAAGTGTGCAGTACCCACAGAAGCCCAGAGAGGGCGTTGGATCCCCTGGAGTTGGAGTCACAGGCAGTTGTGAGCCACCTGACATGTGTACTGGGAACCAAACTCAGGTCCTCTGAAGAAGTGGATGTGCTCTTAACCACTGAGCCATCTCTCCAGCCCTGTTCAATGTATCTTTAAATATGCACACATGTTCTGGCGGTAGCATATGTACTGTGAAGCTATTTCATAGAGCAAAAGGATGAAACCAGCCCAAATGAAGGCTGTATAATAACAATTCTGGTACAAGAAAATATTTTCAGATACTACGATGTGAAACAGTAGCTTTTATTTGCTAGACTAGATAGGCCCACCTTAAAAGCAGGGAAGATGGCCTGAGGAGATGGCCCAGTGGGCAGAGAGCTCTTGCTATAAAGGCCTGATGACTTGAGTGAAGAGCCAGATTCCCATGACCCCAGCGTCAGGGGTTCCACAGACCCACTGGCCCGCCAGCCTAGCAGAAACGGGGACTTCAGGCTCATTAAGAAAGCCTGTCCTAAAAGAATACGGCAAAACCCAGGTGTGGTGGCACACCCCTTTCATGCCAGCACCCGAGAGGCAGA